TTTTTTTATTTCTTAATTGTTTTTGCAACTTTATATACAGCAAACAATTCATTCAGCCAGAGTATTTTTGCTTCAGAGTCCAGCACGTGTTTCTTCAATTTTACCTTCCAAAAGGTGAAGGAGTGTATATGCCAGGACCACTAATCCTCGCCACTCACGTGTCGCTTACCGTGTGTATTTTGGTCACAGTGTCAATCTAATTAGATAATGGGGTTTCGGGTGAATATTTCAATTATTGGGGCACCCGCCTACTGATGAACGGTGGCCAGTTGAAGAGATATTGTTTTTAGTGACCGAACAGTCGTAATTAAGTCCTATCAGCGTTACATTCTGTTCATAGCGGTTTGGAGAAGATTTTGGTTAATATGCCGATTAGTAATCCCAATGAAACTGTTAACGTCATTTGTGACGTCATTTCTACTTCCGTTTTTCTTATTCTTTAATATCGGCCATTGGTGCGAATTTATGGAATTTCTTTCAAAAGTCTTACCCCGTAGATGTTAGGCGTCACACGAGTTATTGTGACATTTTCGAGGTTGTTAAGATTAAACAGAATTCTTCGTGTTGTGTTATACTATCAATAATTAGCAGTAAATGAATGAACTTGAAAAAACGATTTCTGTGATATATGATATGACATCAAGTTCTGAAAACTGAATAATACAACGATATGTATAGTGGGCACCTTGTGTGTTTTGAAGCGGTGTCACCAACATCACGCGTAACGTCTCAGCAATTTAGGAGTGATACGACTGGTTCGCCCGTTTTCAGTTTAATGTGAGCGGGTGGGGTGTCCAGCTGGGTGTCTTCGGTAGTATCGTTCAGTGAGGTAGCACTATAAAGACGGCATCAGTTCCGCGCCTATACAAGGAGACAAACACGATCATATCGCAGCCTCCCAAAACACACACGCACACACTACACGCATGCATCTTGCACACATGGGAGGCCGTCCTTAAATGACCATTGCTGTTGATAGGACGTTAAACAATACTAAACCAAACCAAACCAAATCAACATCAAACAAATGCATGTATACTGGACATTTCTCTTGTTTCTTTTAACAGCTAGAAATAGGTTCATGCTATTGTTACATTAACGTTTAGGGAAAATGCCAGAAATAATATGATTATTATATATGCTACATGTACAATTACAATGCGTATTTTGTATTGACTTACTGATAAACCTATCCGCATCACAAAATAACCATTTCATATTAAGATAAAATGCATAACGTCACGCTACCACGATTGGTACAATTTCGACGGGTTTTCAGTGTTATTTAAGCAATTTATCTTGTATATGGTATGTATCTTAATTCGTGACGAAGACTGCCCATGGCGGTCCATTATTTTGGTATTATCATACAAATATACTGACCTACAGCACAAAGTAACCATTCATATTAAACGTGGATGGATTGGTACAAATTCGAAAGCTTGTCAGTGATATTTAAAATACCATATCTTTTATCTGAATTGTACATCTGTATCTTGATTCTTGACTATGACTGCCCAAGATTTTTGTATTGGAAACAAATATGTTTACTAGTTGATGTGCCGACCGCAACAAAATAAATTTAACATAGTCGGTTAAAGGTAAATCAACACGCTGATATTGTTAACCCTTTCAAAATCCTCCAAAATATTATCGGCGTACGTCGATTTTCCAGGTTTCTGAATTGTTTACTTCGAAGTCATCGTGTACTCTTAAAATGCGGCTAAAAACAAATCTATTTGGTGGAAATGCTAATAAATATTGCTGTTATTACACCATCAAAGATAAATACACAATTAAATTTTAAAGTACTATTCAAACCAATTTCTGAACGTGTACCAATTTGGAAGCATACCAATTGTGGGAGAGTGACATTACATCTTGTTTTGTAACCGCACTTGGTTACATTCCTTACTTTACTTTTTATGCATAATAACATAACAACTTTTCTCGTTGCAGTTTGATGGGGTCATTTTTTGACTGTTTCACGTCGATGTCCTCTATTCGAAGTTGTGGCAACGACTTTAGAAACATTCTTGTTGTCTTTGAAAAGCAACTCCTGCCAACAGATTGTCCCACACGTTCTGGCAGTCCGAGGTTAGACTCTTGGCTGTTTCTCGGAGTCATTGCCGCTCTGGTCGCATCGGGTTTTAAAAGGCTCTAAATGGCCCACCTGACCATGAACCTGCAATTACTTAAAAAAACGGATTAAACAATGATTTTACTTGTGGAAGGACTTGTCACTCGAATGTTTTGTCCTGTATAAGAAATGTGTATAAGCATACATTGATCATATCCTCTATATAATATAATGTAAAATCGTAATTATGTTTTGGAATTCAATATTTGAAAAATGAAATAAAATTAAGAAACTAAAATTATACTTTTGTTAGATCAAGATTTTTGAGGGACAAACTGGTTGTTTATTTTCAGGTTTGATATTTGGATTTCTTGAATTAAAATATTTGAAATAAAGATGTTATATCACAGAAACTGTTCCAACGTTTTAGTTGAAAATATATAGTCTTTAAAATCAACTGAAATTAATATTATTTTGGTAGAATGATAGATAATTATTGCATAATAATTACACGAAAGTACAGTATTTTCAGATGTCATAACTTAACATTCGATCACAGAGCGGAGCATAAAAAAGATTTGGTTAAATCGTTTTAACCCGCAGATTAAAACATTTCATGGTTTTATTTTAACATGTGACTACTGCTGTCTTAGTTTTAACTAGTCTTATTGATTTAATGGAATAAGCATTCATTTCAATGGGAAAAAATAAACATAGTTGAATATTATACAATCGTTTATCCCTTAGAGAATTGAAAGCCTTATTTTCCAATGTTTAGCAAGATTTAAGTAATGATTAAGATTAGCATCATTTGTGTATGTTGAAAATGGAAAATGTTGTATTAAGTGCCGAATGTTTCTTCACTCGCGTTAATTACAAGTTTGTCATTGTTGGTTTTCAATGTGTAACGTACCTATCTTTCATTTGTATCACGCCGCGTGCCGTAACTAGTCGTAGACAGAAGATATGTTATTTTATTCCTTTTTTATAATAGTTATAAACTTTATTTTACAATAATTATGAAAAAAAACAAAAAAACTAGCATTTATCACACTTGTTGGTCCAGATGGAAGCGTGTAGATTGTCTTCGTCTTTATGAGAGAGGAAACAGTAGTACCTCGAGAAAACCCACGTGGTCGGGCAGGTGACCCATCGGGAAACCGAGCTCCAGTCGCCTTCATGAAACGCTCTATCCGCTGCGAAATTGACAATTCGTATCGCCAAGTCACTTGATAAGGTAAGCATGACTAAGAACGAATACTTTAAAATGATGGCAGAATATCGATTCGAGCTCACTGTAGATACTCTGTAAATATCTACTTTAACTTTGAGAGGCATGAAACAAAACACGGGGTCAATAATGTATATTGTGAATACTAATCCTCCTAGATTTAAAATTCAGAATCAGCAAAAAGACAGGTTTACAAAAGGTTAGTACTCTAGGGATTTGTCTGTGCATGATATTCTCGAATATCTTGTCTTCTGTAAAGCGTCGTTTAAGACAATCAAGAATATTATCCCCCGGATTAAAGATTTCTCTGTCACACCCTCAAAGAAGGGAATGATCGTTTTTTTCCCATCCTGTTTCACTTTTTTTTAGTCTTCAAATTGAGAGTCATGAAATTTCAGAGAAACCACAAGGCATTTATATATATATATACATCAGTTATTTCTAATATATAATGTATTACCAAATTAAAGCGTCACGCATCATAACAGGTTTTAATAACCAGTTTGACAGATACATGTTATGCGTGTTTTATACCCATACATTATTAATTTTGCAAATTACAAATGGGATCAGATACAAGTTTAAACATTTAAATTCGGAGTCTCTCTTGAAATAATAATGAAGATAAATACTTCAAAGTATAAAACTATGATAACTGAAATGTTGAAATGATTCGAATAAGTTGTATGTAAAATTTACAAATCAAATAGATATTGTTGTGTTTTATATACCCTAACCTGTTTTCACATCATGGTTATACTTTGACCCACATTATTACATAACGCTAGCGCACATGTACTTAACAATATATATATACTTAAAATGAAACTGATGTCGATGATACATGTTGTATAGTCGTCACTTAACTGGTATACAAATTTAAAATCAATTTTGCAACTAACCCACTTTTGTTAACACGGTGGCAATGTTATGTCGGAGCCGACCACGTCACGCTTTGTTGACATCCTTGTAACTTTCTATACAACGCACTGTACCACAATACATATAAAGGCCCATACTCTTTGCTTAGCAAAACGCACACACTAAAATGTCGCCACTTTTTAGACCTACAACAACCAGGTTTTAAATGTACATCAATGAAATTGAATGAGCTGACAAGGTCATTATTACCTGTCCTGATCGGCTCTCCGATAAATACCGACCCCAGTGAAAACAAGCGAGGGCAACGTTGGTTCCCATTGATTTTACCAATAGTAACGATGAAAACGTCGTGCACTTCCAACTCAACAAAAGGTCTGCTTAAATGTAGCTATTTCGTTGGTAACATTAGGATGCATTCTAGTAAAAACAACACCACTAAAATAGTGATAAAGAACATTCTGAAAATAATTGAAAAGAACGAAAAACATCTTGCAAACATGTTAAGTCAGACACAAAAGACATGTGCCATTGACTTTGTTTTTTAATTGTTTTACGTCCGCTTCACTCTTGAGACTGTCGAGTAGTTCGATCAGTTATCCAGCAAACGTGGAACCTCTATAATGGTCGGTTTCATTCTTTGTTTAGGTATTTCTACACTTTCATTGATGCGTACTAAGAACGGTAATCCGTATTTCAGTCAGCTTTACAATAAATAAACTTTGATATGTAATCGAGATATTTTCATAATTCATTTATTATGCAAGTACTTTCTGAAATAAAAAGTGATGTTTTACTCAATAATATGCATGAATGCTGAAGTTTGACAAAAAATCACTGTATTTATGTTTTTTCTAATAAAGTAAAGGTTGCTGAGACTGGTCCCTGGGTTACATGTTTTATCTGCAATATACAACACAAAAAACATGAATTAATCGAAAGAGTTGCTGTTATATACGCTCAAAGAAGACAGCCGTTTAAGTCATTACGTAACACATTCATACTCCTACATACCTGTAACATGGATTTACCTATACTCTCCATTAGAGAATCGACCCGCCTAAAATCATTGTCATTGTGTCTTTACAACTACAAACAAATATCAATGGTAATTCAGTTACACGTTAATGCACCCATACCCAAACATTAAAACAAACAGGGTGTTTCCAGATAGCACATATACGTATACGCAAAGTATACGCATACGTATATGGCAGATATCATACTTTTCTGGTGAAAAACAATTTATATGGTCAAAATGAAGTCCGTGTACAAGTCACTGTTATAGTGTGTGTATGGAGATATTACATATGTACAAATTGCACCACCCGTATCAAATTATACGTGTATGTATGGGATCGCATTCTACACGGACGACCGCCGGTTGCTGGGATATGTCGTGTATGGAAGAGCGGAAATGATGTAACAGTTTTTAATATTGGAAGAACAGATTGGTCCCGCGCACAGCTAAACAGGCACACAAACCGACAATACGTGACATATCACACCTTCAATGCATTATAGGGTGTCTATTACCCTAAATATTTTCAATAAATATATAACATGTTCATAACATAAATTCGATATCGTCGGATTAACCTGTTGACACGCCACGATGTGTGCTGCATATTGGCAGGCTGTCGTCGAATCTGAGCGGCGGTATATGGTATAACAATGGGATGTCTTGACGGGTATATAAAATCCCCCAACAGCGCACAATCAGCTGGCAAATCAAGAGCAGCACCGTCCCCTATACCGGTCATCAGACGGTACTTGGTAGAGTCATTATCATGGCCTATCAAGTTCATTATCAATGACCACTTGGGTTTAAATGCAATGACAATGCCTATGTCCACTATAACAAAAAAAAGTGTTGGTTTTCTTGCGGAACGTAAATTATTCATGTGAAGCCCCGTCAATGTAACCAACTGCTTCCTCAATGTGCCTCCAGGTTCCACGCATTTAGCGCCATTCTCTACCCGAAGGCCATACAATGTTATCAACCAAATTGGTATAAAGAACGTGCCAAATTCAAGTAGCTGTCCTATGGACAGTGGTGACACTTATCTCGAATAAAACAGCCATCAAGTTATATATAGGATACGAATTCAGCCACATCAAAGTCATAAGTAGCTGGTTGTGTCGAGTTACGCGCGCTTATTCCGTAAATGTTGCGCAACTGTCCTGTATAAAGCCATGAACGTTTCAGGTGTCTCTCCAGTAATTTCATAAAAATGTCGTCTGTGTTGATTTAATGAACTCCAAACATCTCTTCCAGTAAATGTCGCCCTGTCGTTATCATAAAACATAAACATAACACAAGGAGGAACATTAAACGATCAACGTGGCGTCAACTCAGGATCAAAGGAAGAAAGAATCGGCACCGGCACCAGAGGTAGCTGAAGCGGAAGATGCACACGTTGTCGATGTGCATATTAACGGATAATCAATGAGGTATAGGGCTTTTTTCTTCTCCAAGTTTAAAGCTGAACATTATGTCTCAAAAGCACTATACTCACATGTTTAAACATAACCTCAATAATGTTAACCTACAATATGTCCTGCAAGCGGGGGATATAAATTCCACGAATTTGCTGAGTTTTTTTTTTTAGTTTTCCTTTATTGCGTATGGTTACAATGAACCTCACATGGATTCGTGTTCAACACAGTATCTTTTATATCGATACTGCTTCATCCAGATCAAATCCTGAATAACATGTAATATATTATGATTGGGGATAATATTTTGCCTTTCAATTTTTGTTGAAATAAAATTTCGTAGCTGTCTAGAGTGGAATTACAGTTGTGGGACCGCACAACGCACCAAAAATAGCGTGCGCACACCGTGCATACATCGTTCACACACCGTCCGCACATCGTCCACACATGGTGCGCACAACTGTGCGATTTAGCAATCGTTCGCCCCGTTGTGCGATTCTCTCCGCACAACTGTGCGATTTGGTATCATTTGAAGATCAAAATTACGGAATGACAAAAATACGGAA